CGAAGATTGCCCAAAGCTTGGTCGACTGTAAGAGCAGGAGCGTCACTCTATTGCATTTGGAGAAAAGTGTGATCGAGGCGAATGTGGCAGAGATCGAAGAGGTAGAGGATTGGAGGGCCCCGATCTTGGAAGAGTTGAGAGAAGGAACGATAAAGGTAGTCAGGAGGTTTTTCGAGCATGGAGGTATCCTTTATAAGCGGTCATATGGAGGACCACATTTGCACTGTGTCACCAAGGAAGAAGGTCGATACGTGCTGAGGGAGATGCATGAAGGTTGCTGCAGTGATCACAATAAATCGGGGGCCTTGGTCGCAAGGATCCTAAGAGCAGGATATTTCTGGCCGAGAATGAGAGAAGATGCGAAAGCGATGGTAAAAAAGTGCTTGCAATGCCAGAAACATGGTCCCTTGATCCATCAACCGGCCGAAGCGATGACAACGATGAGTGCCCCTATACCCTTCGCTCAATGGGGCATCGATCTGGTGGGGCCAATGCTGCAGGGAACGGGACAAAGAAAATTCCTAATAGTGGCGGTCGATTACTTCACGAAATGGGTGGAGGCCGAGCCCTTGGCGAAGATCACAGAAGAGAAAGTAATTAAATTCCTATATAACAACATTTGCTGTCGTTTTGGTGTACCCAAGGTGTTGATTTCCGACAACGGCACCCAATTCAATGGTAAGCGGATCCGAGCATGGTGTGAAGATATGAGAATCGAACAGCATTTCGCCTCTGTAGCTCATCCGCAAGCCAACGGCCAGGTCGAGGTAACCAATCGGATCATATTGAATGGGCTGAAAACAAAGTTGGAAAAGGCCTCGGGAGCATAGGTCGATGAGTTGAACTCTGTGTTGTGGGCGTATCGCACGACCCCTCGGTCGACCACCGGAGAAACCCCTTTCAGCTTAGCTTACGGAATGGAGGCATTACTGCCAATCGAGATCGAGATGCTATCCCAGAGGTCGAGCGCATACAATATAGAACAGAATGAAGACTTGATGATGGCGGCTTTAGACACTATCGAGGAACTGCGAGG